CACCCTGGGGACACTGAGGCAGGGGTGGGTGGCACCCTGGGGACACTGAGGCAGGGGTGGGCAGAGCCTTGGGGACACTGAGGCAGGGGTGGGTGGCACCCTGGGGACACTGAGGAATGGGTGGGTGGCACCCCGGGGACACTGAGGCAGGGCTGGGTGACACCCCGGGGACACTGAGGAAGGGCTAGATGGCACCTTGGGGACACTGAGGCACGGGTGGGCGGGGCCTTGGGGACACTGAGGCACGGGTGGGCGGGGCCTTGGGGACACTGAGGCAGGGGTGGGCGGGGCCTTGGGGACACTGAGGCACGGGTGGGCGGGGCCTTGGGGACACTGAGGCACGGGTGGGTGGCACCCTGGGGACACTGAGGCACGGGTGGGTGACACCCCAGGGACACTGAGGCAGGGGTGGGTGGCACCCCGGGGACACTGAGGCAGGGGTGGGTGACACCCCGGGGACACTGAGGCAGGGGTGGGCGGGGCCTTGGGGACCCCAATTTGGGACCCTTGGGGACATCGGGACGGGTCACGTGACCCCCTGGGGACCCCCTATGCCTTTAAAGGGGGCGTGGCTTAACGAGTGGGCGTGGCTTAACTTAGAGTGGGCGTGGTCTGCTATAAATGGGCGTGGTCTAATTTAAAACGGGCGTGGCTTAATTGACAATGGGTGGAGCTTAGCTTCGCCCAATCAGGAGCCACGGGGGGCGTGGCCTCACATTTGGGGGCGGGGTTACGGGGTTAAAAGTGGGCGGGGCTAAACAAGGAAATGGGCGTGGCCACATCCTGTGGACAGGGTTAATTAAGGAAAGGGGCGTGTCCTCACCCAATGAACAGGGTTAATTAAGAAAAGGGGCGTGTCCTCACACAGTGGATGGAGCTAATCAAGGAAAGTGGAATTGCTAATTAAAAAAGGGGCGTGTCCTCACCCAACGAACAAGGTTAATTAATGAAAGGGGCGTGTCCTCACCCAGTAGACAAGGTTAATTAAGAAAAGGGGCGTGTCCTCACCCAGTAGACAATGTTAATTAATAAAAGGGGCGTGTCCTCACCCAATGAACAAGATTAATTAAGAAAAGGGGCGTGTCCTCACACAGTGGGTAGAGCTAATCAAGGAAAGTGGAATTGCTAATTAATAAAAGGGGTGCGTCCTCACCCGAAGGGATTAATTAAGAAAAGGGGCGTGTCCTCACCCAACGAACAAGGTTAATTAAGAAAAGGGGCGTGTCCTCACCTGGTGGGCAGGGCTAATCAAGGAAAGTGAAATTGCTCATTAAGAAAAGGGGCGTGTCCTCACCCGGTGGGAGGGATTAATTAGGAAATGAGGCACGGTTAATTAAGGAAAGGGGCGTGTCCTCACACAATGGGTGGAGCTAATCAAGGAAAGTGGAATTGCTAATTAAGAAAAGGGGCGTGTCCTCACCTGGTGGGTGGGGCTAATTAACAAAAGGCGCATGTCTTCACTGGGTGGGTGGGGTTAATTAGGAAAAGAGGCGTGGTTAATTAAGGAAAGGCGCGTGTCCTCACCTGGTGGGAGGGATTAATTAGGAAAAGGGGCGTGGTTAATTAAGGAAAGGGGCGTGTCCTCACCTGGTGGGAGGGATTAATTAGGAAAAGAGGCGTGGTTAATTAAGGAAAGGGGCGTGTCCT